TCCCTGACATGTTAAAACCTATATAGTTTAAAAAATTAACATGTGTTGATTCTGTGATATTTGCTATGATACATACAGTGAAGCCTGAGGCAAGGTCTTTACTGCACAGAGAACACATCACAAAATAACTTTGAATTAAATACTAAACAATGAATATATAGAGTAATTACTTCAGGAAGAAGAAAAGCTGTATATAGACTTGCAGGAGACAGGTCTCACTAAAATTTTAAATTCATGACTTGTAATTGTCATTTAGGAAAAAACTTAAAGTTCAACCTGGATAATGATTCACAACAAATTTTATTTACATAAATGATTAAACTATATCAGAGTCTATTGTAAAAATAAAAATCATAAGCTTTCTGAAATTCAGGAAAGGATACAGGTTCAGGCTTGAAAGGTAATTTTACATAAAAATATAAAAGGTAATCAAAAGTATGAAATAAATGGTGCTTAGATTTTTGGATCTGAGTGTCTGGCACACAAAATCATTCCATCACTTACTTAAAAGTTATTTGACTCTATCCTACATTTACATATTAATAGCCATTATTAATTAAGTGTCACATCTTTCACAAACCATACAGTCCAGACTGTCACTCTTTACAAGGACTTTAATAGATTACAGAATATGCTATAGCAATATATTTTTAACTCGCTAATTTTTTAAGGAGTAAATTATAAACTGTAAAATACTCTATTTTTTAATAAGGGTATCACTGCCAGGTTCTCTTCAATGATTTTCAAATAATAGGCATAAGCCATAAGTTTTATTCCTTAACTATACAGATGCAAAATGTATATAAGAGCTGCTGAATCATTAAATATATATATAAGCATAAGTGATATAAACAAGATAAAACAGTAAATATACATACACCTACAAGTATATAATTGCTCAGCTTTTTCCAATTCCTTTTTCTGACATTGTAGCTAAATGCAAAAAAGGATCTTTTTTGATTGCTTTTAAATTTGGTTCACTTTCCAATTGTATCTGTTTAGGATTCAGAAAGATTCATATGGGCAGTAAGTATTATAGGCTCCGACCTGATACCGCTAGTAACTTGATAAAATAGAGGTGAAACTGTGAATACCTCTTCAACCACATTTTCAACTCCACATTTTTCGATTATAACCACTAACATTCTAACTGATCATATGCAACTGCCAAGTCCTAAAATGTATTCTACATCATTAAGGGAAGATTCAACTAGGTTCCATACAATTACACAGTTGAGGTAATTTCACCATATTCTAACATTCTTAAAATCGAGCATCTGTATATTTACCCTAGGTAAATTTTGAAAATATTTAAAAAGCACTGACTGGGCTATATACATTCAAAGACATAAAGTGCAAATACAACAAGTCAATCAACTTGAAAACTCAACTATTCAGGTCATCAAGGTAGAATTTAAGAACAACAAGTATCAGGTTAGTTGGTTTATAATATGCAATATAATACACGCTAAACATTTGAAGGTATATTTCACGCTCTCTGCTAAGTGTTTTATTCTTTCATTTAATCCTCACAAGAACTCTACAGGCAAACTGATACTATCCTTTTCTGAAAGGAAGAGAAACCTTAAGTTTACTGAGGTTAAATAACTTACCAATGATTCACACAGCTAGTAAGTGGCAGTCTTTTTTCAGAATCAAATTCCCTATTTAGGCCCTAAATCATAAACTGGGTGAAAGAACACAAACTTATACCACCTACCACAATGTCTAAGTCTCAATAAGAAAATCTGACTCAACTGCTTTTTTTAAAGTAACTTTTTTTCTTGGTTTACACTCATATCTTTACCTAGTAGGTTAGGCACCCCTCTTCTGCATAACACACAGTACACCTCATACAGACCTTTATCATATGAACACTGAGCTGCCTTATAATCATCTATTTACTTTATGTCTACCATAATGCTGTAAGCTCCTTGAAGCCAGGACTCTGTCTTATTCATGTTTTATGTTCCCAAGTGTCAGGAATATAGGAAGTTCTGAGAGTGCTGTTAAAGGTTCAATTATTAGATCTTTTTTCCTATTATCCTCCAAATATCCATTTAAGATAAAACCTTGTTGAAAATGAAAAAGGTTGGAACTTAAAAAGGTCAAATAATCTACCTTCACTTTTATCAATACCATATCCCTGTTCTCTACCTCTCAAGAAAAACGTTGGAAGGGAACATGAGATAAATCTGATCACCTATGAATGATTACTGCCATCATAAAGATACACGGAATTCCAGAATCGAATAAACAAGGTTTATCAAGTCAGATGGTGTTGAAAACCTAGTCCCCTTGACCTTAACACATAGGAATTTCTTAGGCTTAAAACAACAACAAACAAAAATCCTGACAGTTTGTTAACCTGTAAAATCCTCATTTTAAAAGTCCAGTTCTTCAAATAAGACAGATACTGTACACCCTCATAACAGCAAATCTGATATAATTTTTATAGCTCTCAGAATTTCACATCTAATTTGACACGAGGGTTTTTTTTAATAGTAATAAACTTAACATGACAAAAATATTATTTTGTGTTAATAGATACTGTAAAACTTTAGCATAGTTAGAACCATGTTAAACATAAGCAGTATATCAAAAATAGTAGCAAAAAGAAAAAATAATTTGTATGTGATAAGAAAAGCATTCTGATTAACAAATCATCAGAGTCACCTTTTTAAAGCCTACAGCTCTTCTCAACTCTAAAACTAACAACTCAAACATCAGTACATGCCAAACCTTGTAACCAGTACTATAACTGTTAGATCAGAAAACAGGTTACATAGAGAAAATTCTGCTTCCATACTTACGAAGTACCCATAAATCAGGACAACTGTGCCCTACTCAAAGACTGAATTCTAAAATAAAGGTTGATGGAAAAAACTTGTCATAGGGTTCACAAATTAGGGTGTTATAACACTATAACCCAAAAAAGGAAGCTCTTTAAATGAGCAGTGCACAGTAACACAAACCTAGCGTCTGTCTCTACAACTACAAGCAGAGTTAACTCTAAAAACTTTAATTTACACCTCTTCTAAATCACAGTCCATTTGTCTGGACTGTAGGATTCTAAAATAAAGTATCAAGTCTCTCCAACAGCACATTATTAAAGAGATTTTTTTAAAACTTTTTTCTCCTTCCATGTGAAAACCAATGTGTTCCTTCAAAAAGTAATCAACATTTCACTTACACAATCACTGTGAAATTATTACTCAAATCCTATTTCCTTTTATTACTTGCACATATTCCTTGGCTTAGTCTTCTGTGGGGCTTTGCCTAGCTAGATAAACCTTTATTGGAGGTACAAATAATATTCTCTTAGTCCTTAACACAATCTAAATCAGGATAGTAAACTATTAACATCCCCTCCCATTTTCCTCTCACCCAATTGTAATCCACAATCCTCTTTAATGAAAAAGAACAGTACACAAATTCAGTCTAGAATCTTCCAACAACTTAAAGAAGTAACAGCGTTAGGAACTGTGCAGTGGAACCAAACATCTGGGGAGTAGGACTATAGAAACAATGTAGATTAGATAACATGCCATTTATCATACTGTACTCCATTAATTAGAAAATGTCATTACAGTGCTTGAAACGTGATGGTGATCTGGTAGTGGAAACTGTCAGCCTATAAGGGGCACTCAATCTCTTGAAAACTTTGCCTCCCTCATAACCAACAACTCTGACACACCTACAGGGTACAGGATTCTCTTTCTTCTAAATCATACCATCCAAGAAATCTGCACACATCTCTCTTTGTAATAAATACTGGTAAAACTTACGGTTTCATTTAAGATTTCATTAAACACTGATCTCTTACAGAAGACTCGTATACCAGTAAAAATATCTAAGGTAAACTACTCTTTCAGCAAGCCTAAGTTTGTTTCTCCACTTTCCTCATCAAGTGAGAGTCATCGAATGAATAATGTCCTGCAGTGTTTAGCTGTTACCAAAAGACAGATCTAGTCCCCAAAGACTAGGGGCCTCATTTTCTCAAACCACGGCCTTCTATTAATGATCACTTACGTCCACTTCTCTTGCATGAGAATGCGTATTTTTACACGATCCCCAACAAACAGGTTTCTAGTCTTCCCATACCTAGAAACTGATTACAAAGAGACTATCTCCCAAATGTGACGACGCCCCCCGCCCCAAACAAAAAGTCTGTAACACAAGAAGGAAGAAAGAGACAGGGAAGAGGCGTGGGATTTGTTTTGATCAGAACAGCCGGGGACATAGTCATTCAGGTATTTAACACATAAATATACCGAAGTCCTGAGCACAAAAAGGGTTTGCTAAAATAAACATGGACAGTGTGATAGATGTCCCAAACTAGAAGGCAGCGACCGGCTGGAAGCAAAGCGATCCAGAGGCTGCCAGGGCAGAAAGGGGCCGGAGGACAGAAGGAAACTGACTGGAAAGGATGCTACAGGGTGGGCTAACATGGTGTCTTCTCCAGCGTGTAAGGTGATGGGGGGTGGGAACTCCGAGGGCTTCATTCCGTCGGGGTCTGGTCCCTAAAGGTATCCAGGCTCAGAACTTAAGTTTCACCCGGGAAAAAAAGAAGGCGGCAAACGAGCATCCCGGCACCTCAGTCCCCAGCACAGAGGTCCGCGCTTTCAGCTTCCTCCGTGAATGAGGGAGGAAGTAACGGTCCCGGGAGCAAACACGGAGGAGCCCTGCTCACCAAGCACTCGGCGTCCGGGCGGAAAGCACCGCCGCTGAACCCCCGGCCCGCAGCGTGGAGAGCGGCGCGGCCCCGGGGGAGGGGAGCGGGCGGCCAGCGCCGCACTGGCCGGCCCCGGCCCTTCCCCGGCCTCGCCCCAGGCGCGGCGAAAAGTTTCCAGCCAAAGTCCGCGGCACCCGCTCACGCAGCCAACCGCCGAACACAACCGCCTCCCGCCAGGGAGAGCGGCCCGCGCCTACCGGGCCGCGGCGCCGGGACCCTCGGTCGCGCCTCCCTCAGCCCGCGCCGGCCGCCGAGGTTCACCTACCACAGAGCCGGGAGAAGAGCAGCAGCGGGAAAAGCAGCAGCAGCAGCAGTGGCGGTGGCGTCGGGGGCGACAGTAGGAGCCCGGCCCCGAGGGGAGAAGCGGAGGAAAGTTGTGCTTTGCCGCCTCCGGGACACAGCGGAGCCGGCCCCGGGGTCCGCGCCATCCCCCACCCTCCCCCCGGCCCGCTTGCTTGCCCGCCCCCTGGCTTCCCCGGCCCCGCAGCCTCAGGCTCTGGGCGGCGGCAGCAGCGGCCACGGCGCGGCGGCGGCGGCGGCGAAAGGTCCGGTGCGCGCGTCCCCAACTCCCAGTTCTTGAGCCGTCGCCGCCGGCTGACACTCAGCCGAGCGCTCGCGGCTGCCTCGACTCCGCCGTCGCCGACGCCACTGCCGAGGCTGAGGCGGGAGCCGCCCGCCGC